CCCGTTGGCCTGCGCTGCCCGCCGAGAGGACGATCCGCGCTGAACGAGAAGTGACCCTTTCTGTCGCGCCGCCGTGCAAAGCCTCGGCCCTCCCGAATCCCGGTCAGGAAGCGCCTCTAGGTTTTGCTGGACAACTCCGATCGCTGGGAGGTGATTTCACAGTAGCGAGCCTGCAGCTCTAACGCGCGCTTCCTTGCACGCCGCGTTAAACGTTAAAGCTAAACTGTGGAATTAAACACAACAGGATGAGACAATCGCATAGCTTTGTACACCTTACACGTGCTGCACGATTTCTCTAAACCCGTGTAATTCCGGGTTGAGTAGTGCAGCTTTAGGTATGTTAGATGCCTTCAGACGGAAACCTGTTGGGACTTGTACAGAAACGTAGTGAAGCTACAAAAAGCGATTGTCCTCAAGTGTCTTTATTTGTAATAATTAAAGGGGGGGGAGGGAGGAGGAAGATGGGGAGCGACCCCAACCTAGTGCAGCTCATCAGACTTGTTCCACAGACCTAGCAGGGTTTCTTGTCAAATATTTGTATGTGTTTATGCCATCCAGCTGCTCAAATTCTTCTCTATGCCCGTTTTGGCTGTCTGGCTTTCACATGTCAACCAGAATCCACAAAGTGACCGTACTGAGGAGTTTGCGTGGGGGTTAGGAGTCAGCTATAACGTTAACTTCAAGAACTTTCTAGTGTTCCCTCTTCAGACCAACGTGCTGAAGTTTCCGTGATCTTTGCTCTGAAAGGTTTCTGCTGAAATTTTGATCAGGGATGGCAGCAGTACTGAGTCATCAGCGTTAATGGAAAAAAAGCTCTGTGGGGGTTATAGTAATAGGGACGCACCAGAAGATTTGCTCGGTCTTGGAGATGCAAGTAAAAGCCATGTGGATTTGTCCTGTGTTATTTTCACAGGTGTAAAGAACTGGTATTTCTCACCCTCTTTAGTGACCCTTGTTAGTTCTCGGTATTTCTGCAAAACCAGATGATGTGGTGGTAACGACCCAGGCAGGTTTGGCTCGGGAGGTGGACGCGTACCTGTGGCTTTGTTTTGCAGTCCGGTTCCCCTTTATGGGCAGGGGGTTTTCTTCTCTGGACGTGCCCTGCCTTGGTTTCCGCCGCAAAACCCTGGAGCTGTCGCAGCGGCCGCGTCCCTGCTTGACGGTGACCTGTGAGTGGGGTGGGCGCTCTGCAGCCCGAAGGCGTCGGCAGTGCCAGGGCAGTCGCTTCACCCTGCGTGTGCGTGGAGGAAGGCAGAGTGCCCTTGGCCCGCCTTCCCCAGCTGGCGGCGGACCTGTGGGGGAGCTCTTGCCAGCCAGCGGGAGTTAGTGCTGCCAGCACCGGTGTAAAGTGGGGCGTGCTGACTCCCCAAGGGCTTCCTATTGCGGCTATAGCGTGGCAGCTGCCTAGCTGTATTATGTCAGGCTCCGAGGTGGATTTGATGTTTCTCTTGTTCCTCCAGGCAGGGTTCTATGACACATGTCCCATGTTCTCGGTTTCTCTTGCCAGTGTTGCGATAGCCTAATGCTTCCTCTTTGTGCGCCTCGGCTTTTGCTATTGAACTTGCTTAATGGTCGTTAATCTCTCTGTAAACCTTCTTGGAGAGCCTGGAGTTTTGGAATGACAGAGCAAAGCTAGTCAGCACAGCCTGACTCTGAGGCGAACCAAAGTTGGCATCTCTAATAGCACAAAGACGTTTTGAGGCTTGCCTGTTCTGCGTGTTACCACATCAAGCAGATGCAACTCAAAGGAGACGTGCTGTGGTGGGATCGTTATCGTGGATGAAATTGGATGTTTGCTTTTGTGCTTCTCCTCATTTCTCCTGGAGAAGCGGCAGGAGCCTTGTAAACTCACCACGGTGGGCAGAGGCAATGGAGCGGGTCATCCCCTCTGCTTACGCACGAGTGGAGGCTATAAGCATCTCTTGCCCTAGGAGATGTGGCAGGAGCAGTACCTCCACCCCTGCGGGATGTGGAGAACGTCTTTTTAGTGGATAACATGTAGAAGGGACTTTGCTGCTGGTATGTACTTCCTTATTCTTCATGCTCAGACGGATGCAGGCAGGTTAGATTGCAACAGCATCAGTACTGTGGTGGTGATTTGCAAACTAGGTTAGTAAATAAAGCATGCTAAAGCCCGTCTTCGTCAGCACCGGAACGCTAAAAATGGAGAGGTTTGGCTGTATATAGTGCCATCTCCCCCGTGTACCACCTGGTGTTCTGCGGAAACGATCTAGTAGGGGTGTAATGCTATTTTTAGGGGAATCCCTTCTGTGGTATCCAAGTGTGGGATCCTTCTGTGGTAGCAGTTGTACACGTAGAGGAGAGGCAGGCGCTGGAGAAACATATTCCTTGCTGCGTCTGTGTCTTGGCAGGAGGAAGGGGCAAAAACAGAGGGGGGTAGAAACATGAAGTGTTATTACTGTATTGTGTCCAGTTGCTACACACAGTCGATGCTAAAGGGGATGCCTCCTTCCTCTGCAGACACAGCAAAGCGCAAGGCTACGAGCTCCTCTCTGCTTTGCCGGAAACTTCCTGAGGGCAGTCTCGAGTTTTCCTGCTGTGGTGTTAGGGTAAACTGGCCCCCATCACCTCCGTAATCTGCTGTGTGCCCATCTGTTACAGAAGATCTTTCACTGTTGTAAAGCCCACCAAAGCAGCATTGTAGAGAAGGTGATATTTGAATTTAAAGCGATGGTGACTTGTGTTAGAACCTCAGCATCCTGCCCAGAGCCGTTTGCTCAGGTACCGTGACTACACGCCGTGCGGGAAGTCCGTGGAGCAGTGGCACAGTAACCCTTGCCTCTGTGCGCTCGTATGTGGCTGCCAGACTGACTGAACTTCGCTTCTGCAGATCTCCAGGTGTATGAGAATCGGCATGGCTTATTAACGCACAGCAGCCAAGTTTATTAACCAGTAGGAGATCTATGGCAGAATAAAGCAACACAAAGGTTTCACTTGTAGCTTCTTTCCAAAAGAAATGACCTTGGACCAAGTGCAGTAGAGCTAGCCCAGGGAGGTGCTAAATACCCCAAGTGCCCTCAGGACAGAGGGAGGGACTGGCTGGGCCACTTCCTTCCCCTGGGATTTTTTTTCCCCTGGGATGTAATTTTTTGCTCATCTCTTTTGAGAAGGGACTGCTTGGAGGAGACGTTGAATAGAAGCGTTTCTGTACCTTCCTGGCTCTGTCTCCTTTCAAGGAGCCTCCTGCTGTCCAGGTGAGACAGGATTTCTCTGGTAGGATTGGGACAGTAGCTGCTTTTCGGCTTGAAGATAGATCTCCTGTTAAAGAAGTGAACTGAGCTCCTTGCAAAAGCCAAAAGAGGTTTTGAAGTGAAAATGGGCCTTGTTTGTTTCCTCTTCTTTTACCACCAAAGATGCATAACTCTGAAGACCCAACTTGCTGTAAAGCTCTGTTCTTGGAATTTGGGTGCTGCTTTCTATTTTTGTGGTGCAGGTTCTTTCTAAGCTGGAAACGTCAGCATGCCTCTTCTCACGTTAGGCTATGGCTTTACACTGCTCACTCTTCTTGAAGAAGAAAAGACGTAACGCAAATGCGTCTTGTTCAATTGTCCCTGCCAGCCCCGAATTCAAGCAAACGGTCTCATGGGGCCAATTTGACGGAAATTTCCTGTCAGTGATGTTTATGGTCGTTGCTAGGATTAATGTCTGCAATAACTTATTTTTCTTGTAGGCGC